CCCCAAAACCCCAAAACCCCACTTTGAAAAGATGATCAACAAACTTAGTTTTTTTCTTTTTTAAAATTTAGATAAATAAATGTAAATATAAAGTGAAGAATAAATCTTCAATTGCGAATCCTTAATTTAAGACTCTCTAGTGTTTTCAAAACATCTACCTGACCTTAGAACTCTTTCTCCATGGACTACAAACAATCGCCGAATAGGAAATTGTAAACGGGATCTTCGAAGAATTCTATCTCATCTTAGAATTTGTATTAATAGCAGAGTTTACCTAAGACGCTGATGTTGTCTTTTGTTACGGTAACTGGCTTTTTTTTGAAGTCTCGAACATATACCTTATTCTCCATAACAGTAGTTTTGCAATACATCAGATCATATTCTATTTTTTCGATTTTCTTTTGTGTATCATCATTGAAATTGTTTCTGATTTTTAATACAACTTCCTCCCTTAAGGAGTATTTGTCAATACTTATTAGTTTCCTAAAGAGTCTTGCAATTCTTTTGACATTTTTAGTGCTGTGTATTTTTTTATTAGGCAGCTTAATATTTTAATTTTTAATACCCTTGAAAGGAGGTCCTCTCTTTTTTCCCTTTCTTTAAGTCACCGGTTAATCATAACCTTTATCAAATTATTTAATCTCTGTATCAGCACGATTCTAAGTTGGACTTTAATTGTCTTTCTAAGAATCAAGTGTACATTGATTTGAATCTGATTGAATGTGCTCATTTGAAAGTTAGTTGCTTTAAAATTGAGGTTAATCATTCTATTAATAATATGTCTCATTTTCCCCAGCATACCAAGATTATTATCTAAATGAAGAATCCTATTAGTTAAAAGACTCCATTTCATTTGAATAAAAAGAGTGTTTGTTCGGAAGATATTAAGGTAGATCATTACTTAAGAAGTCACTTGTTTTGTTCAAACTATTACATTCATCATCAAAGGTGCAAGAATTTGTGTTTTCATGATTGATGCTACTTGTTGAGGAGAATGTGATATTAGCAATATCATCATACTAGGTGGGAGAAATTTCCATGTTTAAGTTTGCATTATTTGATTATTCATACCAGATAGGAGGTTTGTCTGTATTGTTTTAATTGTTTAGCATTTTATGAAGATGGCAGAGGCTTTGATTTCTAAATATTAATTTTATGTAATTATAATATTTAAACCTAATATAAACCTAATTTAAATCCAATTTTGAAGTGATTCAACTAAAAAAATAATTTACTCTTGAAAGCAATTAATTTAACAATATATACTAAACAAATTCATTTCATTTATTACTAAGATTGAAAGTATGAAAGAATCAGGTACCCTTGCTATAATATGAGCTTTAATTCTGAATTCAACTAATTGGTAAAAATTAACTTCATTTTTCAAGAATCCTCTTTTCAAAGGATTTTGAGATAAGAAAAAAGTTAAAACTTATTATTAATTTCTATATTAGAAATAGAAAGATTTATTAAATTATAGTGAAAAATTTCTAGGGCTAAACTTTTATAAATCATTATATTTACATTTCATTAAATCAATATTGAAATCTGATATTTGCCTGAGGGGTTTTGGGGTTTTGGGGTTTTGGGG